GGGGTAGGGGTCAAGTTTGACTTTTTTCTATAAGGACAGTTAACTGTCCCCAAACCATTTATTGATAAGGCCATTTATTTCTCATGCTGTGCTTAATAAAATGTCTTTCACTCATACTCAAGCATCCCTGGAAAGATGAGTATCCTATTCAAGGTATAAACTGAATTGACTTATCTTGCCATTATCAAACTCTTAATGGATAAAAAGTGTTTGTTTACGGCTAAAGGTTCATCCAATGAAAGCATCATTAAACTGTAAACAGAAATGAAACAGCTTTAATCAGTTGACTTTCAGATATATGATGCTTGCAATAAAGAGTTCACAAAAATATTTGAAAAAAATAACAGATGTGGGTGAGGATGCAGAGAATGAGTAACTCTTATACATTGTTGGTGGCAATGTAAATTGGTACAACCATTATGGAAAACAGTATGGAGGTTCCTTAAAAAACTAAAAACAGAACTACCATATGATCCAACAATCCCACTACTGCGTATACATGGAAAGGAAAGGAAATCAGTACATCACCAAGAGATGTCTGCTCTCCCATGTTTATCGCAGCACTATTCACAGTAGCCAAGATATGGAATCAATCCAAGTGTCCATCGAAAGATGAATGGATACAGAAAATGTGGTGCATACACAGAAAGGAATACCATTATTTTTAGCCTTAAAAAAAAAGAGTGAAATTCTGTCATTGAAGACATGGATGAGCTCAGAGGACACTATGTTAAGTGAAATAAACCAGGCACAAAAAGATAAATACTGCACACTCTCACTCATCTGTGGAAGCCAAGAGTTGATCTCATAAAGTAAAGGGTAGGACAGTGGTTATTAGAGGTGGGGAAGGGGTTGGGGAAGGGGATAGCCAAAGGCTGGCTAATGGATACAAAAGTACATCTGGAGAGAAAGAGTAAGTTCTAGTATTCTACAGCAGCGGTCCTCTACCTTTTTGGCACCAGGGACTGGTTTCATGGACGACAATTTTTCCATGGACTGGAAGGTGGAGGGGTGATGGTTTTGGGATGATTCCAGCACATCACATTTATTGTGCAGTCAAACCTCTCTGCTAATGATAATCTGTATTTGCAGCTGCTCCCCAGTGCTAGCATCACCGCCTCAGCTCCACCTCAGATCATCAGACATTAGATTCTCATAAGGAGGCTAGATCCCTCACATGCACGGTTTACAGTAGGGTTTGCACTCCTTTGAGAACCTAAAGCCTCCGCTGAGCTGAAAGGAGGTGGAGCTCAGGTGGTGATGCAAGCGATGGGGAGTGGCTGTAAAAACAGATGCTTCCCTCCCTTCTTCGCTGCCACTCACCTCCTGCCTCACCTCATGCTGGGCAGCCCAGTTCCTAACAGGCCACAGACTGGTACCTGTCTTCAGCCCGGGGGTTGGGGACCACAGTTCTATAGCACCATGGGGTGACCATAATGAACAGCCATTTATTGTATATTTCTGAATAGCCAGAAGGGTAGATTTTGAATGTTCCCAACACAAAGATATGATAAATGTCTGAGGTAACAGATATGCTAATTACCCCAATTTGATCATTATAAATTGTATGAACATACTGAAATAGCACACTGTACCCCATAAATATGTATAATAATTATGTGCCAATTAAAAAAATAATAAAAGCAAAAAACGTTGACAAAATATTATACATTGAGAGCTTATGTCTTCTATAAACCTGAGGGAAAACAACTCTGTTTTCCTACCTGCTGTTTCCTGTGCATGGCAAGTGTTTAGTTCAGCCAGGAGCTGGTTAAAACCATCCTGATGTGCGATCCAGTTGTCCTGAAAACACCGAAAAGGTGAATGAGCAGCAAGCCCGTAGTTTACCTACACTGACTAAGATAAATTGTGTCATCAAGGCAATCTGGTAGTTAATGTGAAATTCTAAATGTTTCATCCAAATACTATTTTATATACTTAAATGAATTCAAGAAATAGAAACTCAAAATGTTCTTTATCCAGATCAGTATTAAAAAGGGGCTTCTCGGAAGCTTAAGCCCTGATTTCAACAATCAACTTACAGTCAAATCATCAACATGTCTGTATGCGAAATATTAAAACAAAGCAAAATAAAATTACTTATTTTTTTCTCATTAGGGAAAATTATGTAGTTCAAAGGACAAGAGCAGTTAAGGACATAGAAGCTCTCTTCCTTGCTACATAGCACTTAAAATATCTTGCCCAATTCTAATTACTTGCACTGAACCCAATTTTACAAAACTCTGGGGAAAGGGAGGAGGAAGGACCTCAAGTCCCCGAATCAACAAGCCCCCATTTGTAAGGTGGTAACTAATAAGTTCATCATAACAAAGAGAATCTGGCGTGTAAGAGAATGAAGATCTCCAGACAACATAAACCACTGGCATGCAGGGTTTCAATGTATGAATTTGCCTCATACACATTCTTAAGCTTTCTTTGTTAAGAATATCTAAGGTAAAGGCATATTGAATAGGTTTATTGGGCAATGCTTCTCCTAGGAAAATAAGTATGTCTGTGTTATCTATCTCTCAACAACTACACTGCAAATCAACTTTATAGAAACGCTTTCCTTAGTGGCTGAAAATTTTAGCTGCTCCAACCCACTACTCAGAGCTCCTGAGCTCACCAAAATCAGTCAGTTTACCTAAAGCAATTCTCTAGATTTTCTACCAGATTCTGTTGGCTGCAAAAATTTAGCAACAAAACTTTCAGCTTAGACACTTGTTAAAGCGAACAATGATACTGAAAATGGAAAACATGGCAGGCCACTAATTTTTAATTACAGTGCCACATTTTCAAAGTGTCAGTGTTCAAGAGGAAATGTGAATAAATTCAACTGCTGTATACGACAGTCAGAGGCAGAAAAAGGGACAGGAAAAAAACTCCACTTTCTTGCAGTATTTCTAAAAATAAATGCCACCAACTTTTCATGATATAAATATGACATATCAGAACAGAGGTAAAGATTTTAAAAATTCCTTTCTGTCCTGAATGCATAGTTCTATAAAAAGAAAACTTTTTGCAAAGTTTAACAATACACTAGTTTGGATCTCTTAGGCATAAGCAAGCAAAGGACCCATGAGGACAATAAGGCAAGGTGACGACATGTTTCACCTGAAGCACCAGCTTAGCCAGGGGCTCTTTATTTATTCAAAACATGGATAATACATACTTGAAGAGTTAAAAATGGATCAATCAACCTGACTGGGCTAAAATTTTTATATTTAGAAAACTGAAGTCAGCCATGCAAGGACAACCCCAGCAGGCACCGTGTTGCTCACTTCATTATTGATCGTCGCTCCAAGTCCCAGGTGGTTATTTTTAACTTGAACTCTAATATGATCTGTGGCTCCTTGCTCCTGAGCCCCTAAACCCTGTGGAGATTAAACACAAAGGGAGTTAGCATTTTTACCACGTAGAAAGAGAGATTACCATTCTTCCTTCCAACATTCAACTAATTACTAAACACCTAGAGTGAGGCACTATCCTCACCTCAGGGGACCCAGTCTAAAGGATTCCTACAAGATATGTCCATAATACCAAGGGTGTACTTCAATGACAGTTCTTCCAGCTGAGAGCAATAAAAGGCCCCTGTGAACACTGGTGGACCATGCCTCTTGCTGACACTCAGCAGCAGAGCACTGCCACAACAATGACAGAAGCCCATCGTGGGTGTCCTAGGTGTTGTGAGTCCATGGCTCTCTCCATCAAATACTTTTACAAAACAATGAGGAAGAAGGGAGGGGGGACTCCAAGTCCCTTGTCTCAGTTAACACTCACTAGTAAGATGTTCCAGGTAAGGGGGAGATCAAATGCAAAGACCCTAAGGTGGAAAAGAGCTTAGAGTACTGGAGAACCTCGGGTACCCAGGAAAACTTCAGTCGTGAAATGAAGAGGAAGTAAGATGACAGGAAGAGGATAGATCTCAAATGACCTTGGAAGTTATGGTAGGAATTCAGATTTTATTTTGAACACCATGGGAAACCACTGGTCATTCAAGCAAGGGAATGACCTGATCTAATTTGCATATTTTACAAGATCACTCTATTATATGGCAAATGGGCCAGGGGAGAAAAAGAAGGGAGGCAGAGGAGCAGCTGAGAGGCTGAGGAGGGCATCAGAGTGAGGATGACTATGGCTGGACCAGGGCAGGAGCAGGCATGACTCCTGGGCTTCTGGCTTGAGCAGGTGGGTGGATGGTGCTATTTGCAAAAATGGGGAAAACTTGAGAAGGAAAAGATTTGAGGGATCAAGAGTTTTATACTAAAAATGATCCCTTTGAGATGCTTACTTGAGTGGAAATGTCAAGTAGGCTGCTGAATTTACAAATTTGGAGCTCGGAGGACAGAACTGGACTAGATAGAGAAAAATGGCAGTTCCCCAACTTTAAATAAGTTAAAGTATGGCAGGAGAATGAATGAAATCACCTGAGCAAACTACAGCAACGGGCCTGGGGCTGAACCCCATGGAGGTGCAACAATCACATGTCTGGAGGAGAAAGAAAAGACAGCAACGACTTCAGGAATGGCTGGTGAGGTAAAAGGAAGGACAGGAGAGAGGGCAGTACTGTGGAAGCCAAGGCAAGCATTTCAAGGCGAGAGCAGTCACTTATGCCCTATGCTGCTACCAGGTTAAGTAACGTGAGAACAAACAGTAGGTCCACTGGATTTGGCAACAAGATCACTAAAGATCTTGACAAAAACCATTTGAGTGGAGAGATACCAATAGAAGCCCTACTGGAGTCAAAAATAAATAGACTGTGAGAAAAAGAAAAAAAATGTGTAGTCTAGTTACAAAGGAAAATAAAATATAAAACTCTGATGGGTAAATACAATTCCATGAGCAACTAGTTAAAAAGTACTGTCTACAAAAGATGCTAATCATGGCATTTAAATGATAAAAAGAGTTGGCATTTATGTCCAATTCTAATTTTATTACTATAAGGTCATGAAAATTTTTGATCTGGGATTAAAATTACTTATTGATCCAAAACATAAACTTCTCCCAGTCTCATAAGAAGGATGTTTTCTCCTGATCTGTAATCTGTTTGCATGGCTCAGATTATTTTTGCTGATCCCCAAAATACCTTTCCTTTAGACCATCCCATCTTCTCTAGCATCCTCTGGCCAAACTTGGAATCGTCATTACTCCATGCAGTGTTTCTTGGATCCACAGCCCACTTCTGCTTCCGCCGACCTAGAAATGAAGAAGTATCTCATCAGCAATTTATATTTCGGATCTGGAAGATACCACACAAATACACACATATTAATACATAACACATGCACACATACTTGCATAAAATATGACACATTATGATACAGATATTAGATTCAACATCCAACAGAATGTTAATAGACTGGATCATTTATCCTGGTTTCCCTAATAATGGTATATTCTCAACATATAAATTGACCTCATAAGATTAAAATTGAAGAGTTCCCTCCAGATGTGACAAAGTGAAATAAACTCAATGTACCATAGTTGGGCCTTCCACGTTCAGCTATCGGCAGCAAGTGAAGGCACCTCCCAACACCAGCACCGACATCACCAGCAGTAGCAGCAGCAGTCGGTACAGCTTCCATTGCTATGCATTATGTGCCAAACGCTACACACAATTAGATTTAATTTTCACAGTAACCCAATGAGGGTAGATACTATCAGCTTACTTGCAGATGAGAAAATCTGAGGCTTAGAGAAAAAAAATCTACTTAACACAACCAAGGAAAAACCAGACCCTTTAAACAAATCGAAGTCCTACCGACTTCAAAGCTTCTATTCCTAACGCACAACATACAGCAGCCATTATGCTCCTAGGGAGAGGCAACTGCCCCCTCCACACGAGTGACCTACAGATGGGACACCATCCCTTCTCACCGGGATGTCCTAAGGCCAAATGACTGCTGCTTTAAACTTCCAGAATAAATTATCGATTTCTTTTTTGGCACTTAACAGTCTACTGTAACAGTTATTTAGAGCCGTCTTTTATGTTGCCTATTAGACCATAATCTCCTTAAGACTCATGCTCATGTCTTCTTTTTTCTTATGCTTCGTTGCAAGAAGTGTAAAAACACTTTGCTCATAGCAGGCACTCAATAAATATGTGAATGGATGTATAAATGAATGAAAAAGAGGGAAGGAAGGAGGGAGGAAAGAAAGGGGAAAAGAAAAAAAGGAAGAAAGGAAGATAATTAAATTAAGGGAACTGCTCTGAGTCTTATCAAGGTAAGTATTTTTTAAATGTATATAAATTACTCACCATTATAAACTCAAGTTTATCCTTGTAGTTTTAAGAAAATTATGGCAGAGATAAAGAATCCCAAAGGTTCAAAGAACAAGAACCCCAAAGTTGACTGTGGCCACCTAAGAAATCTGGAGGCCAGCGTCACCGTCACTCACCTGCCGCATCAATCTAAGCACATCATCTCACTGTCAGCAGCAGCCTCTCACCCTGGCAGTTGCATAATTTAAAAATAACACAACTTCCAGTCAAAGAGGCTCCTTATGCAGCATATAAAATCAATAGAGACCCATAACTATACATACCCTAGCAAAAATAAGAAACGTTTTACAAACATGCAGGCAGAAAAAGGCTACTTAGAAAGCAAAACAACTTGGGCTCAAATGTATAGTGTTTTGCAGGAAAAAAGGTGACCAAAAATGCTCCATCTATTACCGTTTTACTTATCTTAGTAAATACTCAGCACAACACTAATGAACAACACACCGGAGATAAACCCATTAACCAGCATTCCATATGTAAGCTGGTACCGGTGTGCCAGAGTTCATGTCTCTACACGGTGCTTGCCAGGGTCTCCGGCCAGGGCTTGTATGAAGGAGACAGTGTGGCGAATGATGAGCCCAGGCGGGCCTATGCAAGCGACTGGCTAGCCAAAGTCTGTTCCTCACCCCCAGAAAAGTGACAGGTATCCTCGACCAATGACCTACAGCAGTGTTTCCAAATGTGGGTGTTAAAAGGCAGAAGGGGTGGCTTCCCATTAAAAACGAGTAACACTGGGTTAAACAAAATTTACTTAAGAATTTCCCACAATCTTTAATACACGAATGCACAGACCCTCTCAGGGGAGGGCAGAGCAGGCATGCTGTGCTTTCCAGATTTATTTGACCAGAATCATGCTTTCCTGGGACATCTCCTGGCTGTCGTGTTGTACAAGTTTCCAAGTTTGGGAAATACTGGCAAGAAAAAGGCTGTCGTTGGTCTGTTCCAACTGGATCACCTTTCACATATCCTTTGCAATTCTCATGCCACAGCCTGTTCCGTGCTTAGTTCTCAGCTTTGTTCATACTTGTGTGCAGAAAAGAGCTAACACAGGAGGCCTGACTGCTATCTTTTGAAAGGCCTGCTTACAAGGTTGGCCTTTGGCTGGGAACTTGGATTTTATTAATAAAAGGGTTCCCACCATTTGCAGCACTGATATGGGTGGCTCATTGTGCCTGTTTATTCAAGCAATATGGTTTATGCTAAACACGTGCTTTCCTTCTGGGAGTCTGGAATTTTGGTGCATGCCAGCCAGAGGATGCCTATGTAACCAGCCCACAGGAAAATCCCTGAGCACCGGGTCTCTAACTAGCTTCCCTGGTTGGCAACGTCCAACTTGTGTTGTCACAAGTCATTACTGGGAGAATTAAGCATGTCACGTGTGACTCCACCAGGAAGAGGACTCTGGAAGCTTGCACCTGGTATCCCCTGGACTGTACTCACACCTCTTCCTTTTGCTGATTTTGCTGTGTAATCTTTTGCTGTTATAAAGCTCAGCCATGAGTCTGCCTACATGCTGAGCCCTGTACCTCAGCAAATCACTGAATCAGGGGATGACCTTGGGAACCCCTGACACAAGCTGGAATGGCAGTGTATATAGCATGGCACTGGACCTCAGGGTAGGGTGCCCGGAATCCGCAGAATCACTATTTGGAATAATGCGGTTAACTATCTTCTCCTATTTGGAGATCTAACTGTATGGTTCTGTCAGGATACATTTTGTGATAACCCCAATAAAAACCATCCATATGACAGCTGCAAGGGACTTCAATCACTCTGTGCTTGACACCACATGACCTATGCCAGGACTCAGCTTACTGTAAAGGATGTGCTGAGTCCCAGGAGCCAGGGACAGAAGTTTCGTCTTTTATTTATTTTTATTTTTCCAAAGATACTTTCAGATATTCAAGAGTTCAAAATATACCACCCATGTATTATTATTAAAAAATTATTCAAGACATATTCAAGATTGAGGAAACTGCAAAAGTTTAATGCAATGAGAATTAAAAGTCCATTAACTATAGTATTGTGATTTGGTTACAAAATGTAATGACTACAAGTGTCAAAGATTGTTCTAGAAAAGGAAAGAGTCTGAAAAAAGTAATGTCTCAATAAATAATCTTAGTCTAAAACTCCAAATTATAGAAAGACTAGAAAGTGAGGATGATAAGTGAAATTATTATCTTATACAGGAAGAAGTTTGTGTAAGCTAGATTTCTTGTCTTCCACTGGGGAGACGTAATAAAATAACATTTAATAACTAGAGAAATACAATATAAGAAATGTTTTTGAAAAACACCAAGAAAATCACTAGATTTTAAAAAATAGAAAAAGTGCCTGCGGTGATGAAAGGAAACAAAATACAATCCATGTGACAAGGGAAAACAAAGGAAATAGCATACTTAACGAAGTGAAAATATTCACTAACTGCAACCTAACTTAGGATGTAAGCTAAGCGAAAGCCTAACTAGGAGTGTGTTCTTGTAACAGGCAACTGAGTCTGAGTCAATTGCAGGCAGCCAGCTGATTCAAATACAGCAAATGCAAACGCTGAGCTGTAACCAATTAAACTATCTCTGTACCTCATTTCCTTTTACTGTCCATAAATGCTGCCTGACCACGTAGCAGGCCAGAGTTCTTACAACCTGTTCTGGTTCTGTGGGCTGCCCAATTCTCAAATCATTCTTTGCTCAATCAAACTCTTAAATTTATCTGGTCTAAGATCTTTCCTTTTAACAATACTAATCCTAAATATCTAACCACAGACAATGCTGTAAACATTGATTTAGCAAATTATAAAAAAGAACAACACAAAATACTATACATCATGAGAAAGATTTTAAAATTTGGAGTAATCATTGGGAGAGAAAAACTGAAAACATTCTCTTGAAAAGCAATTTGAACTACTGATGTCTACAAATATTAATAGCACTTCATACCTCTATAGCACCTGCAACTTTTCAAACTATTTTCATGTTCACTATCTCACTGATTTTTTTAAGGCAATCTAGTGATGAAGGTAACAAGAGAACTTTTTTAATAGCCTAACAAAAACTGATCAAGGAAATAGACATAAAAGAATGGCAAGGCCAGGGCCAGTGTTCCCAAGTGCATGCTGAATTAAGTATAAAGAATAGAGAACCCTTTCTTGCCTGATGTCTGTTCAAAAGGAAAAAAAGAAAAAGAATAGAGAACCAGAAGAGATTTTAACTATTTAGGCTCTAATCTTGACTGCTCATTTTTACAGATCAAGAAAATAGAGCCCACAGATTCAGTGTCTAAAACATATTCCTTTCTATGAGTCCCCACTTAAGAACAGGAGAAAACTGCTGGTCTCAGTGGTAAGAACATAAAGATGTAGAGATAACTAGACCAAGCTTGCCACTTTCTATCTCAATGACTTAGGGCAAATTATTTCCTCTGAACTTCAATTTCCGCCCCTGGAAAATGAGGGTGGTGTCTGACCCATTTCGTTCCGTGCTCCTAGTGCTCCATTCTCTTAGAAATTGGGATGTCTGACAGCATTTATTTCACAAATCCTCGTGCAGGTGCAGGTGGTCTGTTAAATAAGCTGTTTCATTGCTCACTACACAACTTTCAAAGAGAGTTAAGGACCAGCTGTTCATGGCCAAAGCACGACTGCCATCTAGTGGCGAACAGCCTTAGCTACAGGCACCATTCAGAAGGGAAACAGACTCCAGAAACAGGGAATTCAAGGACTCCACAAAGTGAGCGTAAATGTCAAAGGCAAAAGGAGGCAGGATGGGGGGTTGAGACCAACACTTCAGTGACAGAGTAATTCCACTAACCAAGTCAAAACCGTCAGTCTTATGTACAGTTACTCATTAGCCCTGCACCTCCCCCCCCCCCAAAAAAGGCTGACTTCCTGTGTTTGATACTTCTAACCCCTTTTACTTTTCTTTTTCTGGGTCCAACACATCTTCGATAACGAGATTGCACAGCCTGAAGTGATCCTTCCGGCCTATTCTCCTGTTTTTGACCTGAGGAAACGGAGACCCGAGGAGTGAAGAAGGGTCCCCAGGCCCGGCGGCGGCAGGGCCAGGCCCAGGACCCAGCGTCCTGACTCCCTTTCGAACCCTGCGCGCATCCCAGGTCTGAGTGTGAGGACCTGCGTCTTGGGGAGACACTCGCGGTCAGACCGCCGCTAACTTTCGGGGAAGACCCGGCTTGGCAAACCGCTGCGGCGGGCAGGGCGAGCAGGGCAAGCTCCCAGACCCCCGGCCTCTGACGCCCCCGTCCAGAGCGCGCCGGAGACCAGCGACCCCAGCCACTCGGGGCCGCCGCGCGCGTCCCCCAGCATCATAAGATCACCGTCGCGCTCGGATCGGGCCTCCCCGTCCGACACTCACGCTCAGCCAGCATCGACATGTCGCAGATCCTGTGACACACCGGGACCTCCGGACCTGGCGACTACAGCCACCGGGCAGCTGTCCCGGGAGAAGCTAGAACCGCCAGACTCGTCCGCCAGGTGGACTGCAGCAGCCGGCGCGCATGCTGGTGACGTCAGTGGCGTGCGACGGTTTCCCCCACCACGCGGCGGCCGGGGGCGGGGCGACGGAGGCGGAGGACGTACTCGTCGCTCATTGGCTAGAGCGGGACGCGTACGAAATGATTGGATATGCGTAAATGCCCCTAGAGCGTCGGCTCAGCGACTGCGCTGGGCTAGGGTTACCTGTGGCATCTTCCTCCTTGAATTCTAAATTCCTGCGCGGTGCGTACGGGAGAGAAATTGGGAGTCTGCCCTCAAGCACCTCAGTCTTTTGGGGAGAAGTGTGTAAACAGCCGTCCTTAGGGCCGTCAGTGTTACACTAACCGTGGGGACAAGGAGTTTGAGAAACTCGGCTGGACAGGAGGACTTTGCACCACGACCTCCCATCTCTTCACGGCCTACCTCTGCCCTCTGATACAGAAAGATAAATGATACATAGATCTGATAGCTCTCCATCTGTTGGTCTGTCTGCGGGATCCCACGTTAAAGGGATAACTAATTGTGGAGAAAAGGTTCTCTGTTTAACGCGATGCCTTCAACAAGGCAAAAGTTTTTATTTATTTCCTCTACTACAACACACACACTGAAACTTTGTCTTTATCATATCCATCTCTGTATTCATACCAGCACCTAGTAAAATAATTTGAGTATGGTAGGGGCTCCATAGATGTTTGCTAAAGTAAAGTGACTGTCTCCAGGGGAGTTATGAAGAGACATATAGTGACAATTTCAGGTAGAATAAAGACATGGTTTTGGCCAGGTGACTCTCCAGTGAACTGCAGGTGACAGTGCAGACAGAAGCCTTCCCCACATAAATGGAAGGTAGAGTACCAGGTGCCAAGAGAAACTATGAAGAACTAGGTTTTTGTTTTAAATGAAACCCTTCAACTAGGAATCTAGACAAACAACGTAAACCCCGCTGGTTAGTAACAAGAAACACAAAAGGGTATTTATAGCTATCAGTGAATACCAGGGGGGATGAGGAAATGCAAATGAATGGAATTTCCACAGCCAAGGCAGGGAGCAGGTCAGTTGTGACATAAGGGACAATATTAAAGTAGGAAGTTGGACTCAGGAAGGCAGGATCATGGACACTTCAGGATAATTAACAGACCTATTTCATTATACCAGAGAAAATGGAAGGTAGTTACATACAATGGAGAATAGTGAATTGGTCAGAAGTCAGTGTTTTCCAAGCTATGTTGGTATATGATTTCAGGAAGATAATTTCTCCCTCTTCTTCCCACTTATTCCCTCTTACCACAAAGGGGCTTTGTCTCAAGAGCTGTGGGAAGCCATGGAAGAATTTGAGTAGGGGTAACACACCTTACAGTTTCTAGAAGATCCCTATGGCTGCTCTGTGGAGGAAAACAGATAGAAGGGAGAAAATACTTGAGAAGCCCCATTAGGAAATTGTGGTAGTTCAGGTGAAAACTGAAAGTGGTTGTGCAAGTAAAGATTAGTCGTTGGAGTCAAAAGACATTTAGAAGATACTTGGATATGAGGAAGGAGTTGAAAGAGAGAAGTAGTTGTCAAGAGTAACCTCAAGGTTTCTGGTTTCTAAAACTGAAGAGATGGCATTAGAGTAAGAAATAGAATGAGTTCAGTTTTTCAGACATGCTGAAATTAAGGTGCCTTTGAGTATAGACATCATCAGTTGGACAAGTCTAGAGCTCAGAGTGTAAGTTTGGGCTAGAGATAAAAATTAGGAATCAGGCTGGGTGCAGTGGCTCACGCCTGTAATCCTAGCACTCTGGGAGGCTGAGGCGGGTGGATAGCTCAAGGTCAGGAGTTCGAGACCAGCCTGAACAAGAGCGAGACCCCGTCTCTACTGAAAAATAGAAAGAAATTATCTGGACAACTAAAAAAATATATATAGAGAAAAAATTAGCCAGGCATGGTGGCACATGCCTGTAGTCCCAGCTACTCAGGAGGCTGAGGCAGGAGGATTGCTTGAGCCCAGGAGTTTGAGGTTGCTGTGAGCTAGGCTGATGCCATGGCACTCTAGCCTGGGCAACACAGCCAGACTCTTGTCTCAAAAAAAAAAAAAAAAAAAAATCAGGAATCATGCAGATGTTAATTGAAGTCATGGGCAGTGATGTGTGCAACCCAAAAAGAAAGTAGAACAGAGAAAGGGTAAGCCTTGAGAAAGTCTAAGATTTATTAAATAATAACCAGAAAAGAAGAATGAGACTCTTAGGGAGATATAGAAGGGGCTGCCCTAGAGGTAAGAGGAAAAGATGGAGAAGAAAAAGTTTAACGAATGAAGAAGGGGTCAACAGTGTCGAAAACAGCTAAGAGATCAAGTAGTATGGAAATTGACATGTATTCATTCCATGGATATATTGAATTAGTTCATCTCTCTACATTGTAGCAATCAACCAAGTCTCTTTTTGAAAAAAAAAAAAAAAGGTGGGGGGTAAGAGGGAGAAATTTAGGATCCTGCAAAATAAAAGAGAACCGGAAGTCAAACAACACAATTTCCTCCCCTAACTCCCCCACCACTACCACAAAAGGGGGTAGCATTTGAAAGGAGACTTGGGTACACTGAGAGAAAGAATCTTAAAAACTACCCCATAGCCAAGAGCCTGTCCATGAAATGAGTAAACACAAGCAGTCTTCATCTATGTGAGGCTACTATAAGAAGAAAACAGAAAATGAGAATCAAAACATTTCAGCTCATAACAGTCCATCCCCACAAAACAGGACGAAACTGTACCTAATATTCCATATTGAATTAAATATCCTCAAACGATCATTTGGTGGTATGGGTGTAGGGGGAGCTAACAACCTTGAATCAGAAATTCAGAAGCTAATAGAAATGGACAAAAAAGAGGAAGAAATGAAATGAGAGTTGATTGAACACAGGAAAGAAATGAAAGTAAAAAGGCAAAGCTGTATCAAAAATGAAGACTAAATTACAAGGTGCCCAAAGTAATGGATTTAAATTAAAAATTAATAAAATATATTGAACAAAGGCAAGAAAACAACTAAGGGAGAGAAAATGAGATAAAGACAGAAGTTTAAAAAAAAGTGTCAGCCAGAACGTGGTAGAAATGGAAAAGAGGCAAAGAAGATCTGATATATATATATATAATTGGAGGAGACCCGAGGAGTGAAGAAGGGTCCCCAGGCCCGGCGGCGGCAGGGCCAGGCCCAGGACCCAGCGTCCTGACTCCCTTTCGAACCCTGCGCGCATCCCAGGTCTGAGTGTGAGGACCTGCGTCTTGGGGAGACACTCGCGGTCAGACCGCCGCTAACTTTCGGGGAAGACCCGGCTTGGCAAACCGCTGCGGCGGGCAGGGCGAGCAGGGCAGGCTCCCAGACCCCCGGCCTCTGACGCCCCCGTCCAGAGCGCGCCGGAGACCAGCGACCCCAGCCACTCGGGGCCGCCGCGCGCGTCCCCCAGCATCATAAGATCACCGTCGCGCTCGGATCGGGCCTCCCCGTCCGACACTCACGCTCAGCCAGCATCGACATGTCGCAGATCCTGTGACACACCGGGACCTCCGGACCTGGCGACTACAGCCACCGGGCAGCTGTCCCGGGAGAAGCTAGAACCGCCAGACTCGTCCGCCAGGTGGACTGCAGCAGCCGGCGCGCATGCTGGTGACGTCAGTGGCGTGCGACGGTTTCCCCCACCACGCGGCGGCCGGGGGCGGGGCGACGGAGGCGGAGGACGTACTCGTCGCTCATTGGCTAGAGCGGGACGCGTACGAAATGATTGGATATGCGTAAATGCC